ATATTCAGTTCATAAATAAAAATTCACTTGCATATTGATGTATTTACTAACACTTTCAGAAGTGATTCCTTTCTCGAAGTTTTCCGCTGTCGTCGAACATATATATATTCGCAGCATTGGTGATAGCTGAAACATTGGTCATTTTTTGTGATTGTTGTCAATTGGGAGATTATTTTTAACTTGATGATAAGCATTCAAGCGATAGATGCATGACCAAAACGAAGATGAAAACATAAATGAGGATTTTCTGAGCAAACTATAAATTAGCCCCAAACGCACATACACAAGAATTTTTTTTAAGTTTGTTGGTTGTTGACTTGTATTAATTCAAGTGTTGTGGAATTTTTAAGAAATATTGATTGGATATAATCTAAACGAATTTTTCTACTTTTGGGTGGAATATTTCATATAAAGAAATCAAATTATTCAACGGAATTGATTGCTAGCCCAGTTTACAGCATAGAGATAATTCCATTGCCTTGGGCACAAATGAAATGATGTTTCACTAATGTGTTGTCATGAACCCGCCAAAATGATTGATATTATAAGGTTGGAATTGATAGTATTTATGTATTTTTTTTATATATATATATACCGACATATCTATGTGGTGCATTTAGTCGTACTCTCCTGTTATACCACATTCATAGCTAATATGATATTACTTTTCCAATGGCCTTTGTTAGACGTACAAAAAACATTAATGCATTTACGGCATCTCTATAAATATCTATCTACAAGTAACCTACATATTTACCGTTTTCAATCGATCTCTTCACTACTTCTATCTTTGCCCGGTAAAGTGCTGTAAAGTAATGAAGTCGAAAATATGAGATAATCGTTATCTACTCAATGATTTTAAGGCTGTTGTAACTTTTCAAAATGTGAACAAATTTCAAATATCGACATACCAGCCTGTAGTGTACAAGGTTTAGAACTTCCAGGTCGATAATGAATGGATTGGTGCCTGAAAGCAGCATCCCACTAACTATTTTTCTTGATCTAACATCTGAATACGAATAAACGTGAATCTCAATTACCAGATTTCGTTTTATATTTCGATTGTACGAAGGAATAGAGTAATTATGAGTTTCTTATTTACCTTCGAGGAAAACATCGATATATGCATGATTGCATGCCTATATTCTGAATAAAAAACGGCGTTTAATTATTTAACACTAATTTCATAACGTAACGAAAGATCCACATTACTGATAAAACACAAGCAAATGAAATTATTGGAGTTCAGATTATTGGATAGTCTACATCAGTGGTTCCCAAACTTTTTGTACCATCGCCCCCCTACACTAGTTTATACAACTTCATCGCCCCCCGGCACTGCAAAAAAAATTGAAAGTCTGAAACGAATATATTACAGACCAAATAAGAAGACAAAACATAGTTTATAGTGTTTTTTAATGAGATGGATGAGCTTGGTATTCTTCAGCGAGTTTTTTATTACATCTAAAATTACCACGTTCACTGATGGAAAGGCAATTTAGTTGTTTTGATAGCAATAGTTTCGCGGCTAAAAACCCCCTTTTCACCATATTCAGAGGTCGGATATGGAAGAATCCAGGGTTCTACCTCCTCAAAAACCGCCGTGTACTCTTGCCTTATAGCATTTAACTTCCTAAATCCACCCCGTTTCACATTGAAATAATGAAAACAAAATTAATTTTTCAAAACTTATAATAATGATTTAGGTACATGTCATTCATCCCTACAGCCTGACGACCTTCACCAAAATACATGATATATATAGGTTATTCGGCGGTAAAATTCATCCCCCATGCCTCATCCTACCACGTCCTCCAGTCCGATCACCAGAGTCCATAGCATTATTCAGCCATTTGTTTTGGATTCGTGGACTCGCATGGCTCAGGGTCGGCAAATTTTACGTCGCTCGCGGGACAAAGTTATGATTGCTATTCTTTTGCGGATCGCATATATTTTTTGAAAGTTAAAAACGGAACATCGTGCAAAAACGCCGACAATTCGTGAACTCAACTCAGTCGTCATATTAAAAAATTATTACAATAACATTTAATGTGACACATGTAGCCTACTTTCAAACATCGAAGTGAATATTTTTGCATGGTTTGTGAAACTTTGATAAAGATTTTCTTTGAGAAGATACATTCTTACGAAAATTAAGCAGTGATGAATCTCTCGAATAGAATATGAATTTGATTTCCTTATTGCATTGCAATATATCCAAATACTCCTCGAGCGTAGATGATAAATAAAATTAATTCATCGTTAAAACCGCCGTTCGGATGTTTCCCCTAGCAAAGACTTCCTTCTTTACTTGGCCAATCAGCAAGATGCAAATATAAATGTAACAATGCCCCCTTTCGCATTCGCTCAGACACATTCCTCACTCAAACAGACTTTTAGGCGTAGTCGTGAACATTTACCACATTTTCGCGATTTTGAATTATATTCGTTAGTTTTTAGTTGTTTTTCAGAAATTTAAATAAAATAAGTCAATGAACACTTTGTCCTCCTAGGAGTTTCAGTTTAATTACAGTAATCAAAAATTAGTGTAGAAATAGCTGTGAAAAACTGGGCAAAAATTCTTTACCGGTACTTTTAAAAAACAGATTGTTGAATGGTATGAATTAGAATGATAGTTTGAAACAAATACTTCATTTTATAGGCAACAACTCGCGAAACCACTCTTAAAATAAACACCGAAATTTCAGCGAGTCCAGCAATCCTTTCGCGTCTGATATTCGCCCACGTGATTCAAACGTACGAAAGCACGCAGAGTACAGTAATCAAGTGCACCATGCGCCGACTAAAAACAGGTTTCGCGAAATCGCCCCCCTAACGCCCCCTTCAACTTTTTCGCCCCCCACTGTATCGTTTTCGCCCACCTGGGGGCGATATCGCCCACTTTGGGAGTCACTGGTTTAGATTATATAACCTATATATTTTAGAATCTAGAGCAATGGTTCTAAACCTTTTTTCATTTGTGGCACATTTTCGCTGCACAATAATTCTGTGGCCCACTAAATTTTTCATGCTAGGGAAAAATTTCACAAAAAACACTAAAAATTTTCTGCGAAAATTGACACTTTCACTTTAATAATAATTAGGTGGAAATTACCACCCTGTAGCAAAAAAACAGCATCATTCGTTGCTACTACCATCAAATTTAACTAACTTTATCAGCAACTCTAGCAATTTTCAATAGGTCTGTGGCCCACCTCCTGCGGAGAACCAGTGTTCTAGAGCAGGGGTCCGCAAGTACGGGGTCGCGACCCAAATTTGGGTCGCGAAGCCCTCCGCTCTGGGTCGCGAAACAATTTAAATTTTCCATAAATATGAGAATCACGTCTGTGCAGGGTATTTATGTATAACAACTTTATAAATATCTGATTATAATTATGAATGTTTCCCCGAGTATACACTTCCTTATTTACTGCCGTAACATTGGCCAATCAACATAAGTGCAAAATTGAAGTAACAATAAACGTTTCAGAAGCGCTCAGATACTTTTGCCATTCAGACAGTCTTTCGTGGTTGTGATATTACCTCGTTTTGTCGGTTTTCGCGTGTTATTTGTTAGATTTTAGTTGTGTTTTGGTAAATATAAGTCCTAAACTCGCAAAACCATTCTTGAAATAAGTACCAATAATTTTGCAATGGTAGAATGTAAAGAGGAAGAATTGAAGAGATCAAAAGTCGGAGAAACATTCGTTACTTAGTTGTTTGCATTGTTATATCATACTACGTAGACTTTGGGTTCTCAAAGTACTCCGTACGGAGCCTCAGGACTCCGTTAAAGACACTTAAAACTGTCCTCGACCCACTGCCCTATCTCCATCTACTTACCTATACTCGACCCACTGCCATAGCTCCCTCAACCTTCCTATCCTCGACTCACTACGCTATCTCTCTATCCTCGACCCACTGCTTTACCTCCCCCAACTTTCGCATCCTCGAACCACCGCTTTATCTCCCTCAACCTCTCCCATTGCAACCTACTGTCCTATCTCCCTCAACCTACCTATCCTAGAACCCACTGCCCTATCTGCCACAACTTACCTATCTTTGACCTTCAGTGCTATACTATTCGGTACCTGACCTAACGGCGCTTTATTCACGACCCGATCGCCACACTGAACTTTACTATCTTGCGACCAACTTCCATGGGTTATACTGGTCGTGTATGCCAATGAGATGATTCAATCGTACGTCGACAAAACATGATTGACAACATTCGTATATGTAGGCTGGAATCTCAAATATTAAACAATAACCTTAATTGGCAGTTTAAAATTTATTTACTAATTGGGCTACTGATGGTTTTTTGTTGGGAATAACATTTTTCTAAATTCTAACAGGCCGTTTTATCCCCTTAATAATTGGCCATGTCGTGAGTCTTGTGACAATATGATGCTGATCCGTATAAAGTAATTTTTTTCAACATTTTATAGTTAAGCGATGCCAAAGATTACGTACTAACTGCGTCCTTTGCAACCTCATTAA